TATTATTTTATCACCTCCTTTTTAGTCTGTTTTAAGCTGCTGTGTTTTCTGAAAGTCATTGTAAAACTGAAATTAAACTCAAAGGGCTTCATGTAATCAGTCGGAGGAGGCCAGTGGCAGTGTGGTACAGTTTGTAGGAAGATCTGCCAGCTCAGGTCTTAAATTTACGAGTATCATCCCATGCATGTAAAGTTAGAGGTCTGCAGTTACACTAGGAAGTAACGGCAAGTGAAACGGTGCCTCTATATAACTGAGCATATTTGGAACGGGTTGGAACCTCATAACTGTTGAAAAACACACAAAATGTTATAGGTTTGACTTTAACGTCAACATTTTATGAAAACCTGTCCACTTCTGTTAATGATAAGCATTGTTTTTTGCTGGATAATATTATTACAGATACTCAAGTGAAACCTAGTCTCTAGTAGGCCATCATTTGTATGGCCCTGCGAACGGGAGCTGCTCAAATCTTAGTGGAGGAAAACTTTCCACTTTGAAGCTCAGTGGCATTTTTAACGCTCAGGGTCCCTTCCACATGAGAAGGATCTCTTCTACATATATGGTATTGACACTGCAGGAACAAAACACTGTTTAAACCATCCCCACTTTGTTGGAGGTGTAAACCAGCTGGTATTTCTGGTTTGTTCTGTGCAGTCAAATGTCAGAAGTGTAGGGCTGTTCACTTTAGGGCTATGTATTTGTTGCTTGCTATAGGTGATCCTGAATTTTATCATGGTGATTGGGGGGCTGATGGAGGTGAAAGAAGCTTTGAGAAAAATTTCCAAATGGCTTCAAAGTAGAACTTCATATAATGCTGCCATGGTGGGAGATTTACAAAACTTCTCTCTTCTTGTGTAAATCCATTTTTGGCTAAGTACTCCCCAACTGCTCTGTGCCTAGCCATTTCAATTAGCTGTGATGGGGCAGAGCACATTAAGGTACAAGATGTATTGTGTAGTGAGATCCGAGGCAGGCGGGGTGGCTGGTACAAATGTGTGGTTGTACGACCCTTTTTTTATATATATATATTCTCTATCCCTATCGCTCTCTCTTCCCCACCCTTCCTTCCCTCAAGTGTAATTTACAGCAAAGCAGAAATGAAATGGAATCAGATTGTTTAAAGAAATGCTGGTAAACCCAGGAGGCACATATATTTTTTAATAAACTGAGTTGCAATGAGTTCAGACAATTCTCTGTTGCATGTTCTTTGCTGTCATTAATACTTGCTGGCAATTGATACCTGTTGGTTTGTTTCAAAACTATTTGCAAATGGTACGAAGCTGCAGAAACATACTTTTTAACGGCACTGGTGCATTGGCCATGAACTTGTGACGTTAACAGGTTTGTAGCGTAGTGCACAAACCCAGTGTTGGAGTGAATTTGGAATTCATACAAATACATCAGGATTCATCGTATAAGAGAGAAAACATGTCCTTTTCCACAGTGCCCAATCTTCCTAGCTGTTTGCTTGGCCATCAGGCATAGAGTTAATCCACCTGACTTTAAAGACAAATTCAACATCTAAACAGTTGGTAGGCAGCTACCAATCAAGGGTCAACACGAAAGGTTCAGGATTTTATTTCACTACAATTTCTGCTTTGTGAATAAACCTTGGATACTTCAGTTGCTTGAAGATCTTTGGAATAATCTGCATTAGATGGAAAAACACATCGATTTGCACTGACGCCAAGTGCGGCTTGGATGATACAGTCCAAGTGTCAGCCATATATCTTTCTAATATGCTCCTAGTTAAAGGAACATCAAATATTGGAATACACAGGCTTTTCACAATACTAAGACTCCTATGGTGCCTTGCACTGGGATGGCAGCAATTCGCATCAATGTATCAATACAAACTAAACCGTACAGGCACTCACAAGCTGTACAAAATGCAGACTTTAAGTAAACTGTAAATCAATGCATCTCTTCTGAACACAAAATGATTTATTGAAATATTGAATTAAGCTCTTTTTGATATTTAATAAGGAAATGAGCAGAATTATTTTCTTTTTACATTCATCACTTTCGCTGTTTGTCGATGACGTTGTCACGATTGTAAGTGGTCATTTATTATTTATTATAGAATAATCATTGATTTTATTTTGTGTAATTGTTTACGTGAGAGTTTTATTGCTTCAGAACGGCACTGGCAGAGAGCCGAAATGTCGTCATTTTGATCTAATTAAAGTCTGCATTTTGGACAAGCTGTGCGTTCCCAGACATTTTTGTCTGTTTTGGTACCTAGTTAAAGAAACCGTTTGGGCACCAGCACAAATTATCTTCTGGTTAAGCGTTTTTGGTTTTGTCCTAATATTTGTGCTGTATTTTTCTACACATTTAAAAAGAAAAAAAAAATAGTTTTGTGGCTATGAAATACTATACAGAGGACAATGATTGGCTGTGTGGTGGAGTGATGTCAGTGACTCCTCTAAAACTGATCTCATTGGCTGAGCGGAATACTTGCAATATGTCAGAAGAGGTGGTGTGGCTGAAGGGTTTTGCTGCAGAAACCTGAAAATCCTTTTAATTTTTAAAAATGTTTTTTTTTTGTTTTTTTTTTTTGATGTGGAGCAAAATACAGCTACCAAATACAGTCAGTCAAGACATATTTTTTTATTATAAGCATTTTGTAGTGCCAACTTATTTTGCAGCAAAGGTAATACATATGTTATGTAAAGTTTGATTTCTACTATGGAGTGTTACTTGCCGAATAATACCTGGGAGCATAATGAATACCGAATCTGCAAAATCTCAAAAAATGACCAGATTGTCTGGAAATTTGTAATTTTGATTTTCAGGTCTGCACAATGTACTATTTAACGAATAAACACCCTAAACCGTGATTTGCAATCTAAAAGTACTAGTAAGACCTGGTAAATTATTTTGTAGATTAAAAACAAAATTTCAGACAAAAGTGCCAACTGTGATCTCTTAGGATTGATGACATATAATAGCAATTTATTACATGAGACACATGCCACTTATTTAGCACTAAGCAAAGATAAATGCCAAAAGGGAAAGGGCGCCTTCTTTAAAATTGGTGTCCCGCTCATACAGCTGTGGTAGTGTTCTACGAGTTTTTCAACCAATTGTCTTCAAAGGGAAAATGTTTAATTTGTATAACTGTGAACTCTGAAACCAAGTGATCACCAGCAATGCTACAAACGACCTGCTCTAGTATTAATAAGGAAAACCGTTTATATTGGATGAGATTGTTCACAGTTACGGAACAGTCACAAACATGTGAGCCACTTTCTACGTCTCTGAATACACAACATAGAAACCTTTGGAGTTTGGCTATTTCAGCTGCAGACCATAGTTACAATAGCTGTGTACCTGTGGCTCATTCTTCCTTGAGTCAGAGATGTGCAATGGTGATGTAATGGTGTGAGAAAAGGTATTTTTTTTTTTTTTTTATTGGGAATTCACCAGGTAAATGCAAATGTTTGCCAAAATGTTATTTATTTAATTAAACCTAATTCTAGGTGCTGGGAAACCGTAGACTCATCCAATGCTATTCCCACATAGAGGATAACCTGACTACAAACTGCGGCCCCTTCCAGTAAATGTGACTGAATTCGGGGAGTTATACCTCTACAAGGCTGTTAAGCTTTTCATATGCAGGTGCTATAGCCAGGCTTGCTACTTAATCTCCACATAGCTACCACATGCAGCCATGCCTTTTACAGCCCAAAGACACTGATGGAGATTTGTAAATATATTCTCATCTAAAAAGTGGTCTAAAGTACTGAAAGTGGAAGCAGCAGGCTCATCTCCACTTTTACATTTTTGGAAAACAGTTTAGAACAGACACTTTGTGAAATCACCTCCGATGGTTGTAGTAGATTCAATTCAGTCCTTAAAATGAGTGTGTGTGTTTTGTTTTTGAGTCTGGCTAAAAGTATCTATCTGGTGAAGCTTCATGTAAATAATAATTATAGGCTAAGAAGGTGAAAAGCGAGAGAGAAAAAGCTATGTCTTAGAAAAAGACCTTAAAGTGGAATTGTACGTTGGTCAACAAAAGGCTGGGGACTGCTGCTATTAACAATTATAGGTGTGTGTGTGCGCATGTGTATATATATATATATATATATATATATATCACCAACTTAAAGGAACACTATAGTCACCTAAATTACTTTAGCTAAATAAAGCAGTTTTAGTGTATAGATCATTCCCCTGCAATTTCACTGCTCAATTCACTGTCATTTAGGAGTTAAATCACTTTGTTTCTGTTTATTCAGCCCTAGCCACACCTCCCCTGGCTATGATTGACAGAACCTGCATGAAAAAAAAAAAAACTGGTTTCACTTTCAAACAGATGTAATTTACCTTAAATAATTGTATCTCAATCTCTAAATTGAACTTTAATCACATCCAGGAGGCTCTTGCAGGGTCTAGCAAGCTATTAACAGAGCAGGGGATAAGAAAATCTTAAACAGAACTTGCAATAAAGAAAGCCTACATAGGGCTCTCTTTACAGGAAGTGTTTATGGAAGGCTGTGCAAGTCACATGCAGGGAGGTGTGACTAGGGTTCATAAATAAAGGGATTTAACTCCTGAATAGCAGAGGATTGAGCAGTGAGGCTGCAGGGGCATGTTCTATACACCAAAACTGCTTCATTAAGCTAAAGTTGTTCAGGTGACTATAGAGTCCCTTTAAGCTGCAAAGCTGTAAAACCAGACAAACCAATAAAGTCTAACAACACACATTTGACATACGGGAACAGTAAGTGAGCCCTGCCAGAACGTATAATCTAGTGAAATTTGTTTCTTTATACTTTCCATGAAACCATCCACTCTGACAGGGTTATTCACTACAGTGAGAACTACAGGGAATTCAAAGTGAAATTCCACTTTAAGGTTAAAATAGCCGAGCTGGAACCATTCTCAAAGTCTGCTCTGCTTTCACTTAAGAAACTTTGGCCTTAAATTTGAAACTGAATAACCTTATACCATATACCTTTCACCTTCAGCATGCCTTACAAACAATGTGAAAGAAAATCTACTTTACCCTATTGAGCGGAGGAGGTGCCAAGCCTTTCATTTCACAACAGGCCGTAAGGAACTGCTTTATGACAAAATGGAAGTCTATAATCATTAATGTGTAGAAAATAAAATGCACATATCACCCAACCTTACAATGAACTGAAATATAACATACTTTTAGGTACAACCTGGCCTCTAACAATACAAATTCAAATTATTGGCATTTTTCACTCAAATGTAGTAATTTCTGCTCACGTATACAGCCATACTTTGTGTACCCTTCAAAATGCAAAGAGCAGATGTGCTTCCTAAGTCTTTGTAAATATTTAGAAAACCAAACATGTTTGTCTACACTTTGAAGAAATCCTGTAAGTGCAGAATGTATAGCACTATATAGTTTATTATATTGGAAGTGATCAAGGTTCCAAACAAGGTACTCCTTGAAGAAGATTGCCAAAATAATAGGCACTTATTGAGCACAATGGGAATCAGTTTGCATAGGCTCCAGCGTTTCCCATTCAGCACGTCGTGCCCTTAGCCTATCCTAATTCATTTCACCAGTATAGATGCTGGCAAGGACCAAGCCACACAACCACAGTGACAATGCAAACACTGTGGTGATCACCTTATTTCTATGCGTTAAGTAGGACTGCTTCTACTTCAACAGGGAATACTGGTGATCACCAATAGTAACTAATATATATATATATATATATATATATATATCTCCACATACGCCTTAAGTGTTTAATTTCTTAATTGTTAACATTTCTTCTACCGTATCATTTTCCCCAGGAATTTGACTTCATTACTGTGTATTAGCTAAAAACACTGTATGCAGGCATTATTATTGCCATTTATATAGCGCCAACAGATTCTGTAGCGCTTTACAATATTATGAGAGGGGGGATTTAACTATAAATAGGACAATTACAATAAAACTTACAGGAACGATAGGTTGAAGAGGGTCCTGCTCAAACAAGTTTACAGTCTATAGGAGGTGGGGTATAAAACACAATAGGACAGGAAATAGCAATCAAATAAAGGTGGGAGTGAAGCAGAGCTGGAGGAGAGCGTAAAGTGCTGCCCTTTAGGAGAGAGCAAGAGACCGGTATGTGAGGTAGAGCTTACTCTGGGAGGCCATAAGCTTTCCTAAAAAGATGGGTTTTAAGGTGCTTCTTAAACGATTGAAGACTAGAGGAGAGTCTGATGGGAGAAGGCAGGCTTTTCCATAGGAAAAGTCCTGCAAGCGTGAGTTAGCCGTACGGGTGCAAGCAGCGGACAGGAGGTGGTCACCAGCAGAGCGGAGAGACCGAGAAGGGGCATACGTATGGATCTGTCAAGAGATATGAGGGGCTAGGCATAGAGAGGAAACAAATTTAACAAAAGGTAAACTTTCAAACTATTCCTAATCTATATTTTGAAAGTTAAATGGCTTGTAAAAAATAAATATTCTTCTATCGCAATTTATTCATTAGATGACTATGACCATAACATTAAAAAAAAAAATTTTTTAAACTTTAAAAACATAATTAAACTTTATTACATTTGAAGAAGAAATATATTGTGATTTTATTTTTTTAAACAAAGGATTATACGTCTGCTATGATAAAATATTTTAGACATCCAAAAAGGAGGAAATATTTTTAATTTTATATTTACTTTTTCAACTTGATATATTCTTATATGATAAATTCTAATTTTACAATATAAAATCGAATAAATGTTTCTTTGATAAAGATCTATATTCTTAATTGATAAATGCTAATGTCATATTACAATATTAAAAAAAAAATGTAATAAAAAAAAACCTCAATTTTTATAAATAAATCCTTTTGAAATTATATATCAGAACCTCCTTATATAGCCTATTATAAAATAGGGAAAAAACAGGGCACAAAAATGCAATGCATATGGTGCAAGCCAGGTTTAAAAGGTTACTTGCCACTGGAGGCCCATGGCACACTCACCAGGGATGAATTCTCACTCACAAAGGCTTGTGGACAATGGTAATGTTGAGTCCTGCTCATAATCACAGCAATTCTGCCTTTAGTTCCTGGTTCCAATGAGAAAACAAACTGTCCTTATTCTAACTCTGTCACTTAAATTTTTGGATTATTAAGTCACAATAGACTGATTCTCAGAGCTTCTTTAAACTGAAGTTATGTTCTGCACACACACTGACAGCTGTGAATCACTATGCAATGTTATGGCATGCTATTCCATACTGATCTGGCCCTCCTTTCGGCCTGCACACTCACCTGATCAGATAGTTATGTGATCACGGTTACACGTGATCACATGTCTCGGATCGGCAAGATTGACAGATTGTATATAATGCCTTCGTCCGTAAAATTTACATATATATTCATAGATAGAGAGCAAGAAAAAAAAACAGCAAATTATATATATATTTCCCTTACTATATATATATATTCTATGTGTATTTTGAGATTTATATAATGACAACCCAGGATGAAATACAAGAGAATTTAATTTGAAAGTACTATATTTGACCCTGTACATTTTTGTATTTGTGAGATATCGTTGAACACAAATATTAGTGTTTTAGAGCAGTAAAATGTATAGTGATGTTTACATCATCAGTGAAAAGACAGTTTTGTACAAAATCAAATATGAACACTAACTTTGGCCAGTGTTTGTGACGATGTGGCTACTTAAAAAAAGACTGGACATACCCCATTTCGAAAACCCTTGGTTGTCTACATTTTCAAATGATACGTCATGATGGGGGTAATTTTCATTCTTGGGCTGCCATATGGTCTCAAAGGCAACGTAACCACTCGATGTGAAATGAAGCCTTGTTTTATCCTGAACAAAATGATATATAATGTGTGGGTGCACTTAATCTGAAAGAGGTAAACTATGGTTGAGCAGAAATATAGCTCAAATTTTAGGTTCTGTTTTGGTTCACAACTTGGACAATTGCCTCCATCTTTAATGGGTTAAGAGACTACAAATTCCATTTCTCTATTTCAACACTGTTCTGTTTTTGGCTGCCAAAGTGTGAAGGTTCTATATTACCAGGGCTTCCATCAGAAATTTTGGGGTCACTTAAACAGCTCAAGGTCTGGGAGCCAGGGTCCACCCTTGAATCAACCTACGGTGCCCGCTGCGGAGTCCAGCTAAAGTACCAGCCCACGAATCAGTCTACAGTGCCTGTCCCTGAGTCTGTCCACAAGGATGCAGTGTGTATAGTGGGTGATGTGTATAGTGGATGCCAAGTGTGTGTGGGATAGGATCGAGGCTGAATTCTGTGGAAACAGGTTTTTTTTTTAATTATCATTAATTTATGAATTTTATGCCCCTCTCACTACATCTTACCTGTGACCGGGGGGAGAATATTACACTCCATTGTGCTCTGGTGGCATTTTTCAGGCCGCCACTTAGTGAACAGGGGGCCCAGCCAACATGATCTTCAGTTTTCAGCAGTTCCTCTATCCAACTCTCGCGAGTCTGGTCTGCGTGTTGTGCGGAGAGTTGCCATGGTAACCTGCTGCAAAGCTCTGACGGCCGGAGGCTCGTTAGAATTGGGAGAGCTTCTGGATGCTGATGATCATGTGTGCTGGGCCCCTTCTTCACTATACTGGTTGAGAGGATCCACAGGTGACAGTGGTGGAACCACCCTCTAGCACAAGGGTGGACGAAATGTAGCTGCCCATCTGTTGTACAAGTCCCACAATGCTTTGCCAGCTGCGGATCAACAATTTGCCCATCCTTGCAGGGTTGTATTTAGCATCGAGCAATGTTTGTGTGTTTGAATTTAAGGCATGTTTTTGTATGGAGTATGTTTTTGTTGGTGTTTGAATGCAGGCGTACATTTGTGTGTAGTGTATACACTGCTACACACAGTGATACACATACACACAGTTACCCTGTAGTTCCGCCACTAGGAATATGGGGTCAGAAGTCTGGGCCTCCCATGACCGCCGTGCTTCTGACAAATGTATAAGAATTCTGCATCAGACTCTGAGAGGTTCTGAATTTGATACAGTCACACTGAGGAAACATGGTATTAAGACAAACACCTAGAGGTCTCAGAAGGGTGTTTTTAGTCCACAAAAATCAGTGCATCAAAAACTAGACCAGCATATACCTATCCGGTTGATCTTCAAGTCAGAAGTGTGTGTCATGGGAACTTACTGAGCAAGCTTTCTGTGGTTACGCACCCAGGGAATGCTACACCTTTCATTACAGATGATTTTTTATTAAACAAAAGATAATTACACCTTGTACATTGATGAGCATTAATACACAATAGGAATAGTTTTCCTCTTCTATCCTAAAACAGGCTGTAATTGAGAAATACCAGAATGCTCCAGATTTACAGTTGGTTCTGTTGGGAGTGGGGATAAATGTAAATCACTGTAATCATTTTCAAATATTCAGCAGAGAAGTTAGAACAGAACAGGTACTAATCGCAAGCCACAAATCAAAATGTGTGTATGCCCATTTAACAAACATAAATGAAGACACACTTTTAAACTGTAACAAATGTGTGTATGGTATGTCAATTGCAACTTACACAAAACAAGCTCTGGAATTGGCCATGAATAACTCACGTGATGCACAGTAATGAATACGATTTATTGTTTTTGAGACATTTGGATGTGAAACTAAAACAACAAACAGTTAAAGTGGTGGATTAAAACAAGGAAAACATGTATGGAATAATAAATAAATGAAAAAATAAAATAATTCTTGTGCAAGAGCTTTATTCCTCATTGGGCAGGGCTCTTTTAGCGGTGTCCACCTCCTCCAGGATTTTGCTGTAGAGTGCAACCATCTTTAGAAAAAAGGAAAAATACAAGCTGAACACTTAAAAAAAACTTGACTATTAATCTTACACTAAAAAGTAAGCTAAAAATGCAAGAAATCTAAAAAGACTTATTTTGTAAACAATATTAGGAGATGTTTAACAAAATACAAATGTAAATTTCTTTGTTGGTTCAATTAGTATGAGAAAACATTTGAAGCTACAAGCCAAAAAATATAGAATGTCATAATATTATATTATGGATTAAGAAATCGATTTGCATCCATCGGATTGTACCTTTTCCATGTCTTCGTTCCAAATGTTACCCCAAAAGATATTAGACTACAATTGTCAACATCTAGATCAGAGAGCAGCTCTTAAAGGGACACTCCACTGCCCAAATACAAAAATGTGAATAACCGTTTAGTACATAGACCACAAATGAAAACATGTATGCATTTTCTCCATGTGGGTATATCTAAAAACAGCGTTCAAAAGCTGCACTTCTCTTGTCTGAAGCCTTTGCAAGCCCTCCCTTTAAAACCCAACCCAGACTTTCTGTGGATGTCCAATCATCAACTTCCTAATGTAGCTTAATAAGAGGTTTTTGCAAGGTAGGTGGTGTAGGCTATTTACTACCTTTTGAGTTTAGCTCCACTCCGGGCCGCCATCAGGGGGTGACAACCATGACTGTTGTCACGGGCCCGGCAGCCCCACGTGTAGCAGCGGAACTGCCGCCGGTGCAGTTGCACCGGGGCCCGCACGCTGTTGGGGCCTATCGGGTGACCTATGCACTTAGGGCCACCCGATGGGCCCTATATCTTCACAAATACAAATACCAAGCTCACTTATCTGTATGGATCATTTTGACTCCCACGCTTTCAGGGGTCTGCCATACTTATCCATTCATTCAAATGGACTCAGCCTACATTACAGGCCTCATTTCTATGTTATAACTACAACACATATATAAGGATACAGTTTCCTTTTACAAGCAATAAATTCTCGGGTTGAATCACGTACTGATCCAACCAATCATACGTCTTTTTCTATACAGATATATCATATACATATATATAACTTTACATCACTTTAAGGCATTTTGTGTATCACTGGCCTTTTGTTATTCCATTACATATCATATATAACGCTGGTCAAATATAGGCACGGCCTCCCTCATCCATGTTTCTTTTCTATTTTACACCATCATATATTCCCCACTGTTTTATACAGAAATGTGCATTAAGACACGTCATCACTATGCCTTAGTAACACATTTATACTCTCATGGTATATCTCTACACTTTTTACCAAGTAACACGCCAAATCAAGCCTTAAAAAACATCACTGGTACGGGCTACACAGTCTACTTCATTCCCACACAGTCCACACTCACTATACTACTCTCTTTTACCCATTTTCATGCTGTCCAGGTTTAAACAGATATTTCACCACACTGTTTCCTGTGAGATATTCATACTACCAGGTCCGTACACCTGCTCATATAGTATTCTGCCATACTTTTCATTTCTTCCCCCCTAGGTTAGAGTACTGGCAATAGGGTCATAGGCTTCCCAATAGGTATTTACCGCTCTTGGCATTGCCATCAGTTAGTGGTCCCGTGAGGCCAACACCCCGCCTCAACGTTTCAGAGGCAATAACCCATCGGGCCACACGTTAGCTAGCCGCCTCGCATGTTGCATAGAGAGGGCCTCACCTGTCACTCCCTCTCCCTGTTTTCTATGTTACAGTCACCGAGAGGCCTAAAATTCCTGCCACTACGACGGGTGGCCTCAAATCCCCTCGCGCCAACGCATAGATAGAGCCTCTGAAGCCACTTGGCAACAAGTAGGGCCTCACCTGTCACCAAACAAGTGTAATGTTTCGCCATCCGGCTTGGCTAGCCTGCCAGTACAATTTTGGTGTGGTTTTCATACACTAATTAATTGTTTTGGTTATAGTATGTCTCAGGAAGGGGTAGAGGATTTCTCCCTGCCTAGCACTCCGGCTAGAGCTATCACTCCTACACAAGGAGGAGAGGTAAATAGTCCGGCATCGATCAGATCCTGGACGATCCCTCGTATAACTACCGAATTAAGGAGACGACAAATCCCCTACCCCGCTACAGCAAGGAAAGCAGAACTTTTCAAACTACTACGTACGTCAAATAACATGGATCCCGGTGAAGGACCTAGCCAGTCCAACCCAGGAGACATACATTCTATGTTATCCTCACTCAACGTCCATGAGCAAGGTCAACTCCAGGTTGGAGAAACTTGAGTCGGTCACCACGGCCCTTATTTTAGCAGGGCCACCCGCTGCTGCTTCACAAGCACCAGCCGACTTGCTATTGGTTCCTCCAACCATCACCTCGGATGACCAGGAAGTTAGCCCTGCTCATATGATCCCTGAGCACATAAAAAGAGATATCCTGGAAGGTAAAGACGTCAACCTAGCTTGCCTGCTGATTGCCTCCCAGGATATTGTGGAAAATAGGACTTATGCTTATGATGATGTGTCTGTTGTTGTCAGATCTAGAGACGCCCGCTTAAACAGGAAACTGACTATCCCCGAGTTTGTACTGGCCTTTGGTATTTACTGGGATGTCATCTGTGCGGTCTATCCCAATAGAAGAGAGGAGTTTGATCTTTATATGCACAAGCTGATAGACCTGGGCAATAAATATGGTGGTTCAGCCTTTTATGACTACCATAGGTCTTTTTCTGCAAAATTGTCTGGAGCGTTCTCCCAGTATGGAACAAGATCCTACTGGGGAAGGATAGATACCGTCATATTTTGCAGACACTTTGCAGGTCTGAGAACACCGGCTTGTGCATACTGCTCCTCTACAGCCCATACGACAAACTTCTGTCCCAACACGGCTGACGAACATGCCTCCACGCAAGGAGCTAGTTCCTCTGGAGTCCCAGAGAAAGTGACCAGAGACAAACTCGGACGCCCGATCAAGTTCCTGGGAGAGTCTCAGATATGTAATAATTTCAATGTTGGGTCTTGTAATTATAGCGGTTGCAGATTATTGCATATCTGTTTAAAATGTTTTAGGACACATGCAAAAACCATGTGTCCAAATAAAATGTATTCTAAGCCTTACCTCACGTCCATTAATATGCCGGTGTTTACTGCATTTATGTCACATCACCCGTCTAAACACTTGGTGGACTTTCTTATCTCTGGTTTAACAGAAGGCTTCCACACGGGTATTCTACACATACCATCCGGGACTCTGGAATGCACTAATCTACAATCCGCACAACATAATCCCACAGCTGTTGACACTCTCTTAGCCCGTATTGGGGCCTTTCAAAGCTCCTCCATTCAAAGAATGGCGTACTAACCCCATTGGTATTGTCACAGGGAAATCTTCCCTTTAAACAGAGACTCATCATTGACGTGTCTGCACCACACTCAGGGGAGGGCTGGCAGCCTTAGGCCTGGGGGGCAAAACCAGTCAAGTGGCCCATTGCACCACCAAATCAGTTCACCATCCATGCCCACCTTTTCCTGGTTTTAGAACGGATATTGATGTTATGCTAATACCCGCTCCTTCACAGCTCTGACTTTCAATGTTGTCAGAGCGCAGGCTGAGAATCTCTGACCCTGTGCTCTGACTCACTAACTGAGCACCGGAACCACGAGGGAGAGGCTATAATCTACTACTGGTGCGCACCAGTGCACCACCAGCGAATCGTTTAAATTGAATATGCTGGTGTCCCCAACTTGTGAGCTGTGTTGGCCGCCGGGCGCCTCTGTTGTCATGGCACCCTGCGTGACCGCACAGCGTGCACACCCCAACAGCTGGCCCTGCTGATACACACTGATGTTACTACTTAGAAATCCCTCAATATTAATACAGACATCAGAGTAAACACCAATAAACTGTGGAAACAGAGCTGATCCCCCCAAATTTATAAAGATTTGCTTAGTGGATTTGTTGTAAGATTAAATCATGCCTCCTCCTCTCTCTCTCCCATGCGCTGCTCTGTAGGCTGGGAGGAAGTGAAGAGTAATCACATTCTCCCAGCACAGCGCCACCTGTGGCTGCATGGGGAACAGCTGTTTAATGTAATGCTTGCAGGACGTCCAGCTGCCGCAGAACCTCTTTGTTCCCGTCTCTGCAAATGGCTCCAGGCACTGCTTGCTGTGAGTGTGAGCCACTGTACATTAGGGGCAGAGGGCACTTGGCACTGCGGTAAAGACAGGTCTGGGCAGGAGGAGAGTGCAGTGCAATCAGTGCACTCCCCTCCTGTGGGTCACCAGTAGACTAGTGCACCTGCCCAGGATCAGAGCTGGTGCAAGAATTTTTTCCGCCCTAGGCAAAAGAAAAATTTGCCGCCCCCCATGTGACATCACAATGCCCCACCTATATGATCTGCCATATGAACTAATGCCAATGCTGCACACAGTGTGTATTTACATTAAAAAGCCTGCAGGGACCGGCTATAGACACCAGAACCACTCCATTAAGCTGAAGTGGTTCTGTGGACTATAGTGTCCCTTTAATGTGAGGTAAATTATAGATTAGTGTCACTAATAATATACTAGATTGCCTACTTACAACCAGATGAGGATGATGATGGGCTGCAGTTTGGCTCTACTGGTCTGGTGTAGAACAGAATCTCTGAAGGCTGTTTGTAACTGTGGTCACAAAATTCAAAGTTCTAGTAGAATGGGAAGCAGCTCAATTTTTTCCCCTTAAACAGCTCAAGGTCTGGGCACCAGGGCCTGACGGTGAGTATGTCCATAAGGCCCACCTAAAAGTCCACCTACTTGTTCCACCCATGAGTTCGCTCACAGGGAGTAGAGTGTGTAGGGGATGTGTTATGTGTTATTGTAGAGGATCTAATGTGTGTGCTTATGGTATGTAGTGTATAGGGATACCAGTTTGTGTAGGTGATGCAGTGTGTGTTTGTGTATAAGCGATGTATTCTGTGAATCTGTGTTTGTATGCATAAGGGATGCAAGGTGTGTGTCTGTAAGTGTGTGCCTGGAGTGTGTGTATGAAATGCATTGTGTTTCTGTGTATATGTAAGAGAAGCAGTGTGTGTGTTTGCATGTTTGTGTAAGGGTTTGCATTGTGTGTTTCTGTGTATGTGTGCAAAGGATGCATTGTCTTTGTGTGTAATGGATTCATTGTGTGTTTATCTGTGTGTAAGGGAAGCATGTTGTGTTTCTGTGTGTGTAGGGATGCATTGTGTGTTTCTGTGTATGTATAGGGATGCATTGTGTGTGTGCGCGCGCGTAGTGTGAAAGAGCTCCCTGTCCTGCCCCCTGCCCCTTAGTGGTCTCTCCTCTCCACCCCCCTCCCCTAGCAGTCACTTCTCACACCCACCCAACCTCCCTGTGCTCTTCTCATCCCTCTAAACCTCCTCCGGGTTTCTTTCTCCCCCACCCCCTCCCTCCTTGTGTTCTCTTAATTTCCTGTTCTCCTCACCTCCCCCCATGTGTTCTACTCACTCCCCCCACCCTCCCTGTGTTCTTCTCACCTCCCCTCCCCCCCTCCTCCTGTGTTCTTCTTCTCTTCCCCTCCTCTCTGTGTTCTTTTTATCCTCGTGTTCTTCTTAATTCCCCCAGTTCTTCTTAATCCCGTGTTCTTCTTAATCCCCTCAACCCCTGTTCATGTCCCCAAGGCCCCTGTTCTTCCTAATCTCCCCACCCCTTTTCATTTTAATCATCCCAGTTCTTCTTAATCCCCCACCTGTTCTTCTTAATCACCCCGTTCTTAATCCCCCCACCCCTCCTGTTTCTTCTTGATCACCTCCCAGTTCTTCTTAATCCCTACCCCTTCTTCTTAATCCCCCACCCCTCCCCCTTCTTCTTAATTCCCCCTCCCTCTTCTTCTTAATTTCCCCCCTCCCCTTCTTCTTAATCCCCCCTTTTACTTAATTCCCCCTCCTCCTTCTTCTTAATTCCCCCAAATCTTCTTAATCTCCCCACCCCTGTTCTTCTTAATCCCCCACCCCCTGTTCTTCTTAATCCCCCCACCTCTCCCACTTCTGCTTAATCCCTCCCCCTTCTTCTTAATCCCCCACCCCTCCTTCTTAATTACCCCCTTCTTATTAATTCCCCCGCTCCTTCTTGATTCCCCCCCTCTTTTGGTAATCCCTCACTTCCATCCCCTGTAGCGTGGCCGAGCTGCACTCCGGTCCGCGGTGGCCGGCCGGAGTGATAGGAAGGTGCACACTGAGTGTGCACTTCCTGTCAGTCCTGCCGGTTACAGGAAACAGAAACTCCTGTTCCGCGCGGAGTTTCTGTTTCCTGTAACCGGCCGGACTAACAGGAAGTGCACACTGAGTGTGCACCTTCCTATCATTACGGCCGGGCACTGCGGACAGCAGAGGAGAGGTGAGAAGATGTGCTGCAGCCGCCTGAGGCTCTTAAAAAAGCGCTCAGGCAGCTGCAGCATTAGGACCGGCCCTCCAGCGACCGGTCTTAAAAGGATTTGGGGCGGCCTGGGGGGCAATTGCCTCCCTGCCCAGCCCGCCCCTGACCACACTCATCGGCCAACCCCAGTCTTAATTCCCTCATACCCTCTGAGGAATTCTCCCTGCAATACACCACCATAGATTACGCCATTACAGCAATCATACAAGCAGGGGTCGGAGCCTGACTTAGTAAGAACGATATCACTAACGCCTTTAAATTGCTACCAATCCACCCCACACTGTGGCACCTGCATGGAATCAAGTGGGCCGGGAACTACTATTTTTTCTCCCGTTTAACTTTTGGGTCCAAAAGTAGCCCAGCTATTTTCGACACTTTTGCCAAAGCTTTGTGCTGGTTACTATTGAACATAGCCAGATACCCTACGGTATTACATTACCTGGACGACTTCTTACTGGTCGAGGAAAATACTTCCACTCCTAGTAGCCTCAAAGCTACCACCAAGCTATTTGAGCAACTAGGTGTACCAATCTCCCCTAAGAAAACGGAGGGGCCAGACACGATTATCACTTTACAGGGTATTCAATTAGACTCAACCACAATGCAAGCAAGTCTACCACACGATAAGATAGAGAACATTCTTACTTATATCAACCGCTACCTTCAGCTCGGTACTTGCAACCGCAAAGAGCTACAGTCCCTGCTGGGGTCACTAAATTTTGACATGCGTATCATACCTCAAGGCCGCTCCTTCATATCACGACTCTTGTATCTTTTTCCACGCTTCCTACACGACACACACAGGTTGTCCTTAGATAACCAAGCTACGGCAGACCTACGCATGTGGAAGGAATTTTTAACCACTTGGAATGGTAAAAGTATGTTCCTCCCTCAATTGACTGACTCATCACCTACTATTTGATCAGATGCAGTATCTACCACAGGTTTTGCAGCAATTTTTGGGAACGAATGGCTTTGGGGCAGCTGGCCTACAGCAGTTCAGGATTTGGAAGGTTTTTCCACTACCTCAGCTCTCTTTGAGATCTATCCCATTGTGGCGGCTGCCGTAGCATGGGGTCATTTATGGGCAAACATGACAGTTCGTTGTTACTCAGACAACCAGGCAACCTGTGACATCATCAACAAAGGTCGCTCAAAGTCCCTTACGATCATGAGATTTCTGAGGAAACTCACGTGATTGGCAGCTTGTCATAATTTCTTTATATATTGTTTCCATGTTCCAGGAATATGTAACACAGCTGCTGACAGTTTGTCTCGTTTTAAATTTCAGGCATTTCATCAAGCACTCCCGTCAGCTGCACTCACAGCCACTACCACTCCAACATTTCAACAACTAATACTGGACTAGACATCATCATAGCAGGACACTGTCCCAATTGGCACTGTCAAAGAATACACACAAAACATACGACAGGGCTTTTACACTATTCAAAAGATTCCTTTTGGAACATAACATCATGCAACCATTTGTTATGACATCCTTTTTGGGTTTTGCTTCTTTTTGCCACATTAAACTTAAAATGTCATATAACACCATCAAACTTTATCTCACAGGCATTCAATACCATATGCTAATCTTACAACCTAACAACACTAGTTTCATGGCCTCTCACCAGATCAAGACCATACTCCGAGGCATTCAGAAATCTGAACCCACACGTACATCACAGAGGCTACCCATAGATAACCATATCTTCAAGGCATTATCTAACCTGCTTGATTTAAAACCTTTTGACACCAATACAAATTCTGTCATCA